AAAGAAAATCGGTTAGCGACGCTTTCCTCTTCGTTAGCGAGACTCGAACACAAAGCCTGTCAGTCCTGGAGGCGTGTTGTACACAGCACTTGCTAACCCACTAAGCCATAAGACCATTTTCGTTCACATGCGTCCAGTATTCTTGGCCAGGACTTGAGACTTGAAGCGCCAGATCACTGTGCAACGGCGGGCAAGCGTCGCTTGAAAGTAATAACATAAGGATCACATCAACATAAGGAATGAAGCTATATAGTCCAGTCTATTACGCCCCGGTAGCAGTGGACGAAATACTCAGCGGCCTTCCGAGGCACCGGGCCACAGCCTCGGACGTGATAAGTGCCTGCGGCAGGCGCACTGGATAATATACTGGCTGGTGTCTGGTGTCCTCACATCTGCCTGGTCACTACCATGCTCTTCGGGTCACGGATATGTCACTACTCACGGACGGCACCCCGGCTTCCATGCCGAAATCGAACCATGGCTATCTATCCACCATAAGTTTCAGCTCCAGGACTTTCGGAGTTTGAAATCCAAAAGCAGCAAGTCCACTAATCAGCTATCACAAATGGTTTGTTACAGATGCATTTCCCGCTTGCTCAGCTTACGACGAGCAGATGAACGCGTGCAGGCATGCAGGGACACGCGTCGAGATCCAGTAGCTTACATCCTTCATGGGATACTATGCCCAAAATCAACACCGCTCGGCACGTGGCCGCCACAAAGCTTTGCGCAGTCTGAGGCTAGCAGACGCAATAAGTTCCTCCACACTAGATCGTCGTTTGTTGGGCTCGATGGTCTCGGTCCCAGACCATTCGTCAAGTATGGATGGTCATCTGCAAGACGAAGTGGAGGGCAAGAACGGCGCTCACAGGGTCATCAACCTGATGGCGGAGCTTATCTGTCAAAATACGTCGTGGCGTCTCCATGCTAGCCATAATGTTCCAGAAACATTCACTTGGAGCCGCAAATGCCACGGTAAGGTACCATAAATTTCCCATATGCATTTATCTGTCGTCGGGGCCACTTTCACACCGTTTGTTAATTGAATACGAGGACTAGTGGATGTCAGCAGCCTGTATTTGCAGCAGGCGATGTCAGAGTGAAATGGACGTACACAACTGTAGGCAGTCCCGATCTTTCTGTCGCGCATATATAATATACTGCGCCCCGCAGCGTCGAAAGCCGACAGAGATGTCTCAACCTTCTACCCAACACTTGCGCGACCTCACTCCGAGCGCCGATCGCCCACGCTACGCTCGGGAGAGCATCCAAAGGGTACGGTTTACCCCTGTGTGCTCGAATTAGTCCTGATTTCCATAGATCATGATATTCGGTCTGCCGTCCTACGAGCGTTCGCGGTTCTTCCCGCAGGCCGGCATCAGTGGCAAGGAAGGCCGCCTCATGGAAAACTCGCCGGACTTTGTCCAGTGGGGCTCCGTCCACCTCCTCATGCTCCGCCTGGCCCAGCACCCGAAGGTTGACGGGGACATACGCTCGAGGATTAACACCAGGAAGGCAGGCCTCTTCTTCCCGGCATGCGTCCAGCGCAAGCCTCCGCCGAGCTCGCAGTCCGACCCGGTCGTCGAGTACGGCTGGGACCGCACATGCGACAAAGACCTCATCCAACGCATGCAGGACCAGTGCGCGCAGCTCTTCATGGCGTGCGACCACCTCGCCTACATGAGGGCGGCCCCGGAGATGGAGCAGTACTGCCAGAACGACCCTGCAGAGTGGTACAAACGCTTGACCAGCCACCTCGCGTCGCCGATGTACAAGATCGACTTGAAGGCGAAGATCAAGGCCGGTATCGAGCCGCTACGTGATACGCTCTCCGATCTCTTCACGAAGCTCAGCATCTTGCACGACGCTGCGCACGGGCAAGATCTGAAGCCGCGGCCGCAGGAGGTGATGGTCGACCTCTGCACGCGAGTGGGCATACCCGCGCTCGATGAACTGGACCTGAACGATGAGGCTAAGGAGGAGATTCGCAACGTGAGCTCTTCTGTTTGGCATTCCACTGTTCTGCGCATCTGACCTCCCGTCCCAAGCTCTTCGAGTCCATCGAACAGATGGCGAGACAGGATACACACTTTGACTTTCAGGTGTACTTGTATGGGATGCTGGAGGCAGCAGTCCGCTTCGATTTCGCGGCGGTCTTCCTCAATGCAACCGATGGTATGGATATCTTGAACGGCCTAGGTGCAATTCTCGCTAGGACGATAGGAATCTTGGTATGTCGCAGACTGTATGCGTTGGCCGGAGGGCTTTATGTACTGACCAATCTTTCTTAGGAGCTTCCATGGATACGCGATAAGTTGATAGAGGCCGAGATGGCTAAGTTTGTCAAGGGAGTTGGAGAGCGCCTCGGGCGCATGTACGGTTTGTGGAACTAGACGTCGAAGACCGGGACGAATATGAAGCTATGGCATAGCCAGCAGTGTACAACAGAACATTACCATATGCCTGATTTGCAGCATGCAAGGAAAGTGTTATGATGCAATATAAACCGGTTATCGATCCACGAACAAAATATGCATCACGAATTATCGTCGAAGAGTGTTCTCGTCGGCATATAATTTGCACACAGTTCCACACTGTGATATAAAAACATTGTACGCAGGACACATTTCGCGACAATTTCATCGCCCGAGAAGGATAAGTAACTATAGAACCGTCGTCAGTAAAGCATCAACTTTGCCACAGGGGTGTAGCTGTACCACAATATTCTTTTCAGTACGAAGAAGGACACCATCCGCTGCATCAGAACTCCGCAATGTAGCCACATCTCCTTGGTCGGTAGCATCATCCGGTTCTTCACCTTAGTTGTGACCGTCGTCTTGCTATGTGACACTTTCTTCCCCTTGGCATGGCTTCAAGCCACTTTGGCATCGGGAGAAGCTCAGCTCGGACGGCAACTTTATGACGTTGCGCACGGCGGCTGCGCAAGCAATGGCACATGACGGCAAACGTGCGCCGGTGCTGGGACGGGTCAACCGGCTGCGATAACACGACGGGCGGGTCTAGGAGAGGCCCCATGAGTGCTTGGGTGCCGCCGGTCGTTGGCGCGGATCGTCTTATCTGGAGCAGGAGGACTGGAGCCGGTAAACCAGATCACAGTTCGAGTCTTTACAAGGATCGATGAACTATTACAGCCGGATGTCACCACAGCAGTGACTGCAAGACCTAGAAGAGTGACTTTAAGGAATGATATCGCAAGAAAGGCCTCTAGTCTCTAAGTATTATCAGGAAGACGATATAACAGTGTCCGTAAGCTCGAATGTAGCGCTTCAACCCCCGGCAGCGTGTGAGCAACAAAGGTTCTGACGGGCATTGGGAGGGTATGGTTCACTACAGCACAGTGCGCTTGGCAAGAGCACTGACACACGTCATAGCATGCGCGCAGCGAGTCCTTTCAGACTGACGAGAATCAGCTGCGGCGCGTACCTTTCAATTGGAGCGAGGGTATATCCTTGTCTGAGAGTGGTGAACGCTGGTCACACATCATTCCAAGTGACGCAGCGTTATCGTTATCTGCGCAGCAGGTATGAAGAGTGCGATGCATCCTTCTCATTTTTGAAGGAAACCGGGTGCTTCCCGGTGGCAGCACGACGTCGGTTAATTTGAACCATACTCACGGGGCACGTGCAAGTGGGGGCCATGCAAACGAGTAGGGCCAGTTAATGCAAAGAAATCCTGAGAGTCTGCAAGATTGTTGAGTGGTTGGATGGTCGGAGAGTTCGAGTTCACGAGCGCCGGGGACGTTGCCGCGGTCTTATCGGGAAAGAAACCGGGCGAGGCAATCTGCGATCTGATCTAATCGGAAGCATCTCTACCGCGCGTGCACGTTCGTATCGGGGGCACCCGATTGGACGCGTCTGTCGAAACAGTGCTCGTAACAGTTGATTCAGAGAGCACCGCGAGGGACGGCGGGCGGCGGGATGGGCGGCAGCAGGGAGGCCGCCCACCGAGGAAATTTTCGTCGGCGAGGCCGAGTCCGGCAGTCGGAAGGACGAAGCGGTTGATGCCACACGGCCAGGTGTGGTGCCTTTTTATTGAAGCGAGCATCTTCATCACGCCGCTGGTGGCCCCGTCTGTCGCAGTCACACGAACCTCTCCGTTCAAGGGCGGAAACTTTGACACAGTTCGTATCTGGGGTTCGCTTATCGTCCTGCTCCGCCATATATCCGCCTCGCCAGGCCTCCGCGTCACCTACCGTCCTTCGCACTCCTCATCCATCGCTCCCGGGCCCTGGATATCTACTAGATGTCAGCTATTGATCATGCCCTTGACGACAAGGTCAAGCAGGATGCAGCCTTCGATAGCGTGTCCGTGAGCGGCACCCTGGACGATGACCGACTGCTGCAGGAGATCGGCTATGTGCCCTCCTTCAAGCGCGAGTTCTCCAATTTGGCGACGGTGCGTGCGCCTCTCCCCGCACCCAGCGCGCCCCTGCCGCCGCCTGGCAGCGGCGTGATTGGCTTCAGGACGCTGAGCAGATAGATCATGTCAACAGATCAGCTTCGCGTTCAGCATCATGGGTCTCTGCTCCAGCATAGCCACGACCTTCAACACACCGTTACTCGTGGGAGGTCCAGCGTCGGTAACATGGTGCTGGATTCTAGGCGCTTGCATGTGCTTCACGCTCGGTGTGTCCCCAGAACCTTCAGCGCATTTTTTCCTATCGGGTCTGACTTTTCCACTTAGGTGCTAGTATCGCTGAGATAGTAAGCGCGTTCCCCACTTGCGGTGGACTGTGAGTAATTCTCGTCGTACAGCGGTTTTCCGTTGCAGCATTTACTCTTGGTCTCGTACTGATGACCACGCGCCCACCAGCTATACCGCGTCCGCGCAGCTGTGTCCTCCAAAATATAAGCCTATCGTCGGCTGGACAGTCGGATGGCTCAATATCCTCGGTGTGTGTCCTTCATAAAGATAATCCGAGCGCGAGCTGCGTCGCTTACTGTTGCGTCATACGTCCCGTGTTCGCTCCCCGCTTTGATGTATGAACCCCCTTCCGTTCCTGCCAGGCCAAGTCGCCGGAGTCTCTTCTACCGAATTCGGACTCGCGAACATGATCTGGGCTGCCGTCGTCATCGCGAAGCCCGGCTACGAGATCACCTCGGGTAAGGTCGTCGGCGTCTTCGTCGGCCTGCTGGCGTTCCACGGCTTGCTGGTATGTGCATGCGTCTTCGATACAGTTTTTGTATCGCTTAAATGGAATCTAGAATTGTCTCGCGACTCGGTGGCTTGCACGGCTCACCACGGGCTTCGTGTTCGTTAACCTTGGCACGACCTTCCGTACGTCGGCTTGCCTTCAACTTTGCAGGTGTCGTACTTAACCCTGTCTTCAGTCATCATCATCGTGCTTCTCGCGATGACACCTCGATCAGAGATGCATGCCGCGTCCTATGTCTTTGGTTCAGCAGGACTCGTGAATCAGACTGGAGGATGGAACGACGGCATCGCATTCCTCTTTGGTCTGCTGAGTGTCCAATGGACAGTGAGTTGTCATTGTTCGCTCTGTATCCCAAGTCTGGTACTGACGTAAAATCATGGTAGATGACGGACTATGATGCCACCGCTCACATCTCGTAGGTGGCTTCATTATGCTCCCTGCGGTTACGCCTGACACGTACACCAGCGAGGAAGTCAAGCGTGCAGCATATGCAGGTATGTCCGTTCTACGGAGACATCGTGTTCATAACACTCAATGTAGTCTAGCTCCCTCTGCGATCTTTATCGCTGTCATTGGCACAGGTCTTATTGGCTGGCTACTCAACATCGTCATGGTTCTCTGCTCTGGACCCCTGTAAGCATAGCTGTACATATACATTATCCACAGATATCCCTAATGTCCTCCTCAGGGAGAACCTTCCCGGCCCTTCAGGCGAGGCCTTCCTCGAGATTATGGTCATGCGCATGGGCAAGCCAGGCGCGCTTTTCCTCTGGGTACGCCCCCCTCCCTTCTCCGACTGCATGCACTCACACGCGCCACAGGCCTTCGTGTGTCTTACCGCGTTCTTCGTCGTGCAGACCGCGCTGCAGGCGTGCTCGCGCACGGTGTACGCCTTCAGCCGGGACCGCGGGCTGCCCGACGGAGGCTACTTCGGACGGATGAGCCGGCTCACGACGACGCCGATCCACGCGATCTGGTTCGTCACCGGCCTGTCGATCCTCCCCGGCCTGCTCGACCTCGCGAGCCCGGTCGCGGCGAACGCGATCTTCGCGCTCACGGCCATGGCGCTCGACCTGTCGTACATCATCCCAATCTTTCTGTGCGTGTGCTTGGCTCCTCTCGTTCTTTCTGCGCTGGCCGGCTGCAACTGACGCGTTACATCCTGTGTGGTAGGCGACGCCTGTTCCGGAACCACCCCGAGGTGCACTTCCGGCCGGGCCCATTCTACATGGGTGACGGCCTGCTCGGCTGGGCGGCGAACGTGAACTGCATCCTCTGGACACTCTTCGTGGTCATCATCTTCGCGATGCCAAACTACCTGCCCGTGACAGCGCAGAACATGAACTACGCCTCGGTGCGTCGTCTCTTCCCGCTCCTTTCCCCCGTGTGTAACTCACTGCGCCTTACAGGCCATCACCGGCGGCGTCATCATCATCTCGATGTGAGTGTGCTGTGGACTACCTGTGATTTTCCGAGACGGGGACTGACGGCACTGTGCAGGGTGGGCTACCTCGTCAGCGGTCGCAGGCACTACAAGGGCCCCAGGGGGACGGCTCTCAGGAACGAGAACCAGGAAGGCAGCAGCGAGAAGCCCGAGCAGGCTGCGTAGCTCCCTTCCAGACGTCATGCGACCCCGGGTCTTCTCGTGTTCTCGCAGAGCCGGACGGAAGCCGGGTAGCACCCCACGCTCTTTTGCCTCCCCTTCTGCTTTATGTGGCGTGCACCTGCCAGGTGCACCCCCGCCTGCAGAAGTCCACTCCGGGCAAGCGCCTACGGGTCGTCGACCATTGCTTCATTATGCCCTTCACGAAATTCCGGGCTGTAGTGGTCATTCCAAAGTACATTATTTCATGTATTATTTTTCTCTTATCTGCTCTGTGTCGAATCCGATATTACTGGTTGAGACGCAAACTAGACCCGTTTGAGCTTGCATCGTCCTATATGTGGCGAGTATACAAGTTGCAGCTACCTGTTATGCATTCTATTCAGTAAGGCCACCGAGGAGATGTGTCGCGACAAGGGCAATGGGCTAGGTTTGTGCAGTCTCGGGGGTCACAGTTTTGTCACGTCTCTCGAGCGGTCCATCATAAACCGGCGAGCTATCGCCAGGTGAGGAACGGTGATGATCTGCGTCTTTCTGTGGCATACGTTCCATGGAAGTTTTGGCGCAGCGGATGTGTGCGGCGAACGCGGCTGATGACGACGGTGAAGAGATAACCTCAGATTCATAGCCTTCAGGATCTGCGAGTGAATCTCCTTCACAGTCTAGTATGTTATCTCCCAAGGATGCAGATAGAAAAGCTATAGTAGTGAATGAGGTCTCATCTCGTCTTGGTACCACGGTCGGGAGCCCTCGGGCGGTCGAACATGGCCGTGAGAAAGTATCTATGCCAGAGTCGGGTTAAGGTTCTGGTCGCTGCGCGCGTCTCCTCGCTACAGTCAGGTTACTACCTGCCATGAACGTTTCACTCTTGTTTTCATTGTCCCCAATCGCAAACAATGAAACGGTCCTTTTGGGAAACAGTCTCAGAAATACCCTATAAAGCTGGACGCGCCTGCGACGGTGACAGTCCTCACCCAGACCCAGTATGGCTCAGTCTC